TGAAAATCAATGATACACACAAACTCTTAAAAACAAATAAGGAAAAAAAAAGATGCATTACATACAAAGAAACAAAGACGAAAAATCATAGATGTATCAAAAATTATGCACATCAGAAGACAAACATTTTGAAAGCACAGAAAAAACCCAATGAACTATGAAACATGTTAGTCTAAAATTCAATTTTTTAAAAAAACATTCTTTTAGAAATGAAGACCAAAAAAAAGACTTTTTTAAACAAACACTGAGGGAGTCAATCACCAGAAGATGTGAAAAACAGATGCTTAAGGAAGTTCACCTATCTGACCAAAGAGAAATAAGTGAAATAATTAAAAGGGTCTATCAAGGTTTCAACCAAATAGAATAACAATATATATTATCATAATTTGATATAGATTATAAATGTGATATTATAGGTAATATATCATATAAGATCACAAAACAATAAAAGAAGATAATGTAACTAGACCAAACATAAAATCATGCTCAAGATGGTTATTTATCAGTAATGTGATCAGTGGGATACCATTTCACTTGTCAAAAAGAAAACCAGTGTGGGCAAGCATGTGGAGAGATTGGAACCTTCATACATTGCTGGTTGGGATGTCATGTCATATGGTCTAGCTGCTTTAGAAAACACTATTGTTTTCTCAGAAAATTAAATTGGAATTACCATATAGGGCAGCAATTCTACTCCTGATAATTGAAAACATGTTCATGCAAATATTTATGAAAAAAAAGTTCATGCCAGCATTATTTACAACATCAAAAAGTAGAATCAACTGAACTGTTCACCAATCAATGAATGCATCAACAAAATGCGGCACATTCAGATAATAAAATATTATGCATCTATAAAAAGAAATTAAATAAGGACACATGCTATGTTATGGTTTGTATGTGAAGTGCCCCACCCCCCACCAAAAAAGCTCATATGTAAGACAATGCAACAAATTTCAGAGGAGATATGATTGGACTATATGTAGCCTTAACCTATCTGTGAATTAATCTCTGATGGGATTAACTAAGTGGCAGGGAGGCAGGTGGGATTGCTGGTTCATTGGAGGTGTGGCTTTGGGGTATATATTTTTATCTGGCAAGTGGAATCTCTCTCTGCTTTTTGATCATGATCAGTGAGATACTTCTCTCTACCACACTCTCCCACTATGATGTCCCGTCTTACCTGGAGGCCCTAGGAATGGAGCCAGCCTTCTATGAAGCCGGCCTTCTATGGAGCAGGACAAAGACCTCTGAAACCCTGAGTCTTCAAATAAACTTTTCCTTCTCTCTGATTGTTCTGGTTGGGTCCTTTTAGTCACAGCAGGGAATGAACCTGATTAAAACATGCTACAATGTGGTTGAAGCATCTTGTGCTAAGTGAAAGAATAGGACACACACACAAAAACACATATTGTATGAATCCTCTTATATGAAATGTACAGAACAGGCAAATCCATAGTGGCAGAAAGTAGATTAGTGTCTTCACCACACACACACACACACACACACACACACACACACACACACACAGAGGAAATTACAATGAGTGTGTTAATTATATATCAGTGATCATTCACAATGTACGTATATATCAAATCATCACATTGTAAACCTTACAATCAGTAACTTTAAATATTTTAGGTCTTCATAAAGGATTATATAGCCACTCCTGTGGTTTGACTTTTTTTATTGGTGTATTACAGTTATACAGAATGGTGGGATTTGTTGTTACAGATTCATACATGCACATGACATAACAATATGGCAAACATCATTCCCCAGTATTTCCTCTTTCCCTCCCCTCCTTATTCTCTTTTTCTCCCTGGTCCTTTTCCACTACTCTGCTGATCTCCCTTTAGTTTTCTTGAGATCCCCCACCTGACTTTTCTTTTCCCCTTTCTTGCTTCCAGATATAAAACACGTGACTTTCTAATTTGACTTATTTCACCTAAGACAATGTTCTCAAGTTTCACACATTCTCTTGAAAATGCCAAAATTTTATTCCTCTTTATGACTGAATAAAACTTCTTTGTGTATATATACCACATTTTCTTTTTTTTATTTATTCTAATTTGATGTATATGATAGCAGAATGTATTTCAATTCATAGTACACATATAGAGCACAATTTTTCGTATCTCTACACATGTAGAGTCACACCATTCCTGTCTTCATAAATGTACTTAGGGTAATGATGTCCTTTTGTTTTGTTTTACAATTTGGTTGTTTTATCATTAAGCTGTGAGAGTTCTTTATGTATCCTAGATATAAATCCTATGTCAGAAATATGCATTACAAATAATTAATCCCTGACTATGGTTTACATTTTCAGTTTCTTCATGGTATCCTTCAAGAGCAGAACTTTTAAATTTTGAAATAAAGTTTATTATTTCTTATTTTATGGTTTGTGCTTTTTAGGTGCTAGAAATTCCTGTTTTATTTTAAGAGTTGATAAAAATTTTTGTTTTCTTCCATGTGTTTTGTGATTTTAGATTTTAAATTCAGGACTTTGATCCATATCAAGTCAATATTTGCACATGGAGTGAAGACATGGTTGAAGGTCATTTGTTTTTCTACAAGGATGGATTATCCATTTATTCAAGCTTCACTTTTCTTTCTTCAAGGAGAAGTTTGGTGTGTGGTATGACTCTAAACTTTTTTCTTTCTTCGTCTATTGATATATTTTCCATTATTATAGCTTTATAGTAAGTCTTGAAATGAAGTAATAAGACTTCCAACTTTATTTTTAATAAAAATGGCTATAATAATGTCCTCTTAATAAGTGATTAGTTAATAATGTCAATTTAATGTTATATTTTTGCTTTTGTTTTTGTTCAAATGGACATAATTTACACATGCCAAATTTCAAATGGCTTTACAAAAAGTAATTCAAACCTCAAAACTTAAGAGTTGGCAATTTATTTCAGAAAAAAAGTTCACCTTTTCAAAGATTCTGCTGATAAGAATGCAAATTGATCCTTCAGGAAGGCAGTTTGGAAATATTCACTAAAATGTTTAAAACCCACAAACTGTACTTCTCAAATATTATACTGGGGCTAGGGTTGTGGCTCAGTGGTAACGCACTTGCCTAGCATGTGTAAGGCACTGGGTGTGAGGCACCACATAAAAATAAAAGAAAGATACTGTGTCCAACTGTATCCATCTACAACTTAAAAAAAATAAAGTAACATGTTGCTTTAAAATAAATAAAAATTTTAAAAAATTACACTAAGGAAATAATCAGAGACATACTGAGAAGAGTCATTAAAGTCTTAATTATTATTGGAAAAAACTGAAACTTTAAGATTAACCTCTGTTCACTTGTATTATTCAAGTATTAAAACAATGACGATGATATTAACTTTACGATAAACAGCAGTGCCCCTTTATCTGAGGAAGATATTTTCCAAGACCCCGAGTGAATGCCTGAAACCATGGATATGGTTTAGGGATCAAACCCTAAATATACTATATTTTTTCATATATACACAGACACACACACACACACACACAAATGTAAGAATTTTTTCAACTTAATTTAAGTGCCTAATCATGCACTGTTTCCCATAACTTTTGTGGTATGAAGTGCAACAGCAAAGTATCATGAGATTCTTTTTTTTTTTTTTAAATATTTTAGGTGTAGATGGACACAATACAATGCCTTTTATTTTTATGTGGTGCTGAGGATCGAACCTGGGTCTCGCCGGTGCTAGGCGAGTGCTCTACCGCTGAGCCACAATCCCAGCCGGAGATTCTTTTTCTTTATAATTTAATGTATACATTTGTTCTTACCATACATTTTAGCAACCTTAGAATATGATCTTGTTTTTCTATCTTTGTTGAGATAACTTTTGCCTTGGCACTTAAAGGAAGTATTTTGTGACTTCTCTGGTATATCCAAATCTCCCACCATCCCTATTTTTGTGCTTTGATTACCTGACTACAAGCTCTAAGACAGGTATTAAGCGACTAGAGGGTAAATAGCATGCAATTGTTAGACAAAGGGATAATTCATGTCAAGAAGGATGGAGCTAAGACTGCACAACATTTCATCACACTACTCAAAAAAGTGTGTAATTTAAACCTAAAGCATTGTTTATTTCTGGAGTTTTCCATTTAATAATTTTGAACCACGGTTGACCAATAGTTGACTAGAACCACAGAAAGCAAAATAAGGGGGACCACTGTATTGCTAAGTGAAAAAAAAGCAGGCTATGAATTAATACACATGCACACAAACACACATGTACACACACAAACATTATATGATCTAAATTTTGAAATCATTTAAAAGATAATYATATATACACATATATATTTAAAATATTAACAACAATTATATTTAGAAGGTTGAATGTTGGGAAATCTCTCCCTCCACACTCTTTTTTTTTTAATATATCCTGTATCTTCCAGATTGGCTAACATGATGATAAAGTTTTCTTTCAGGGAATCCACAGTCATTTTCATTTCACATTTTCACAATTTGCCCCCTTTTCATTTTTGATCCCAAGTAAACAATAATAGCCTCAAAGTGGAAGCTCTAGGGCAAGGACCTGTCTGAATTAGTGGTACCACTATTTCTAAATTGGGAACAGTTCAATAAAAACAATGCTGTTAGGACACATGGGAAAAGAAATGGCAGTGTCTGACTTAGACTCAGGAATTCAAGTGGACCTAACAATAAAGACTCGTAACCCAAGAAGTAAAGAAATATTCCTATTTATTGTAATAATTAAATAACCAAATGTAAAAATTTTAAAACATATAAAAATAACTTAAAAAATTAACATACAATGAAACTGTATAAAATAAGTGCATAATTAAAGATAATTAACTCAGCATCATCCAAATTGTAAGAGGATACTTATGAAGTTCTTTAAATACGTAACATCTGTTCTTTGAATAAAGTTTAAAATTTGGTTTAAAATGTTTATAAATTTTCAGAAAAAAAGAATGACGCTCCATCCAACTTGAATTGTCCTAACGAGAATGATTCTGTATCATTTCTTGCTTGTCTTTTCTAATACCCATTCAATCACCTGGGTGAAAAAAAATACGATTATGGTATATTTCCATCAAAAATAACAGTGGTAGAAAATACATTACAGAAACTTCAAATCCTAATATTCTACCTAAAAACATATGATTTTCTATCTAAAGAATACTTTTTGCTGAACTTTCAATGTTAAGTACAATATTGTTATTAGAAAAATGAAAAGTCCTATTCCATTTTTTAAGCCATTGTCTTGAAATGTGTTTTAAAGGGGTCACTCAAAAAATATTAAGCCAAACTTTGAAAACAACTAGTCAAACTGGTTTGTTTGTTCGTTTATTTATTTGTTTGGTATCGGGGATTGAACTCAGGGGCCTTCGACCAATGAACCACATCTCCAGCTCTATTTTGTACTTACAGACAGAGTCTCACTGAGTTGCTTAGCTCCTCGATTTTGTTGAGGCTGGCTCTGAACTTTGTGATCCTCCTGCCTCAGCCTCCAGAGCTGCTGGGATTATAGGCATGCACCTCTATGCCCGGCCTGGTTTATTTTTTTCTAGCTGTGCCTGGCCTGGTTTATTTTTTTCAAGCTGTTTGGATTATTTATCATTTTTTTTCTTAATATCATTTTAGAAACTTTTCTGCTAACAACAAAATCTTTTAAGTACTATTCAATACTCTGTCTGAATAAGCCTGTTTTTCAGTACCTTAAAGAGTTTTCAAAGGGACAGAGTTAAAAATACCATCACCAATTCTCACTGTATATAAAACAGCAGCACAACAATCCTGAAATAAAATACTAACTTAATTAAATGTAGTTTCTTTGCAATAATTTATTTACCTGTACAGCATTGTTGCTTGCTGTCTTCTTCATTTCTTGAAATAGACCCCTTGAAGTTTTCAGATCCTAAACATTAACAAAATACAGCATTTTGTAGTTTGTACATTAAATTACAAAAAATAACTCATTATTAAGTGAGCTTAAGATTATCCTAAATAATCTACAAGTATAAATTTGATTAGGAAAATATTAACAAAAAAATCAAAGTAATATATTGTGATTTAACTCTATCCTAAATATAAAATTATCCTAGCCAAAATATATATACATATGCCTAAATTCATGTCACTTGTTTGTCATATTCCCAATAGTACTGACCTGATCTAAGCATCATCCTTTACCATGAATATCTAATAATGTTTCATTACTTGAAAAATGAACACACAGTTTATATTTGTTGTTCAGTTAAAATTCTTTTTCTTCCTCTCTTCTTTTTAATGATTTCATTCCTCAACAAAGAGGAATGACATAGGAAAAGGAATTGAAGTCCGACTTCTTTAAATTAAATTACAAAGTAAACACAATCTAACTGTATTTAATAAAAAAAGAGCAATCCTTCACCAAATCTCCAAGATATGCTTCACAAAGGCAGCTACTTTTAACTCTTTTAGCTGTTCCTCTTGCTTTACCTTCATGTTTCCACTTAATATATTTATGCTACAACTCAGTGATTAAGTAATTTAAGACAGTGACAATTAACAGCCATGGATCCAGGTCTTACATACCACCTTCTCAATAACAGCTATATCACCATTTTTGATTGGCAAAAAGACAGTGTCTGCCTCATTATATCTAGGTAAATGCTGTTCAGTCCTGAGGTAATTAATGTATTATGGTTTAAGATCTCTTCATTCAACATCCTACTTTTCCTGTAGTGAGTCTACCTGCTTAATTTTCTCTCTTTTAAATTTTCCATGTATATAATTTTGAATATTTCCCTCTCTCTCACAATGAACTAACTAAATGTACAGCAAAAATTTTTAAAAACACTGAAGTGTACTTGGTAATGTCTTGGTTCTTTTTTTATTTTAATTTATTTTTTTAAATGTAGACCTTTCTACCACAGCCTGCTCTAATTTGGTCTAGTTGCTCCCTAGGCCTGGTCCTATTAGGACCTGTCTTCCCCACTTGGTGTTTTTGTTTTATTTCTTCATTCAGCTTCCTGTCTGCTGAACTCATCTTCTAGAAGATTTCTCAAGCGGGTAAAATAATTTTTTTTATTTCTTTATTTTAGAATTCCACGTTTTGAAGAATCTTTACTAAATTGAATTTTAGTAGATAAATCATTTTCCCTCAGAATTTGAAAGTACTTTTATACCATATTTTAGCCTACAATGTTACTGTGGAGAAATCCAATGCCATTCTGATTCTTTTTATGTACACTGTAAGTAAACTTTTCTGTAAACCATTTAGTAAATGTTCTCTTTATGCTAAGAGGTATGAAATTCCATGATTCCACATAACATGACTTGTTGTAGAGCTTTCATTTATTGGGGAAGCCATGCTGAGTCCCCTTCCCAGCAGGAGGCTTGAGTCCTTCAGTGCTTGGCTATCTTTTTGACAATTTTCTCTCCTTAGTTTCTATTTTTGCAACTAATTAGCACATTGGATTTTCTGGATTAATTCTCTAATTTTCTTTTAATATTTTTTTGCTTTTGGTTCTATATTCTGGTAATTTTTTTAATTTCAACTGTTCATTTTGTCTATTAAATTGATTTTGTTACAATTTTTTAAATTTTAAGGAGCTTTCATGTTCTGTGCATTTTTTGGAAACAGCATCGATGTTTTAGCTTGTGAATACAATGACCTGATTTCTAAWAGAACTAAAATTTTATGAAGACTTCTCCCACTTTCTGTTCCTTCAGAGTTCCCTTTACTCCTTTGTATTTTGGCATCATTTGTGTTAGAAGCTTTCTGGAAAGTCTGCTAACCCTTGAATGTCCAGTCATAATTAAAAGAGACACTAAAAATATGAAAGACCTATCTGTGCAGAGCTTGCTCATTTATGGCTTTACATAAATAGGTGACAAAGTGGGCAGTTGGCTTATTCACTGCAGCCACCAATATTTCTTCTGGAGACCATTTCTTACACTGTCACAGAGGTCACAGTACAGAACTATTACCATTGTGGGAGAAGGGCATGTGGGGCACTTTGAAAGTTTCCCAGTCTACTTTGTAGATCTTTATTTAATTCCTCTTGTTCCCACCTGGCACTCTGCCTCTGCTTTTCATAGTACCTGGCTTTATAATTCTGGAGTCCCTCAAAGAGTTTGCCTACTAATCTGGCATGGTTCCCACTGGCATTTCACAGGGTAGTCATTTAGGTGGTAACTTCTTTCACTCTGCTATCTGCCTCCATGCTCTTTTTCTTATTCAACAATGTACATTTCAATAGGTGTTTTTTTTTTTTCTTATCCCTTCACCTCATTTTTTTTTTTTTTGTCGGAATAATGTTTTGCTTGGGAAATTATAAAAAAGACAGACACTGAATACAATGGGTCAATGTGCAATTTGAACTAGAAATCTACACATAACTGTCGTTTAAGTTTGAAACTCAAAAGACTGGAGGTAGTCTAATACCATCAAAGTTTAGAAAAGTTGTTAGACTAACTTGCCTAATATTTTACAACCAGTTGATATGGAATCCAAAATTAGAAATGAGTTGTTTTGGTATTCAGTCCAGTAGCCTTTTCACCACATATTGCAATGAAATTACTAATTAAACTGATTGATTAACTACTAAGTAATGTTTGAAGTTCCAACTTAAGAAAAAGACTTGTTAGGGAAAACACTTGTTAGGGAGAACTCCAGTTAAAATGTAGCTTTCTATGTATGAGGATAAAATAAAATCAATCAAATATAAAATATTTTGCTTCAATTTTGGTATTTCCATTTAAAGAAAAATCTGCCAACAAATTAGATGCTATCAGTATAAAAAATACTCATTTAAACATTTTTTTTTACATCAAACAGGAACATAGAACACAAACTAAACTTTGCTATTAGTAGAGAAGACATTGTACCTTTAGATAGACCTTGGAGATTTCAAAGAGGCGCTGGCTGCATGCAGTGAAGCACTCATGAGCCTCTGTGATCCGGTGTTTCTTCAGGGTTTCAGTTACTACTTCTTTCAGTATCTTAAAAGAATATAACATACAACCAATATTCTTAGAAAAGGTTCAATCATCCTAACTTTAGTATCCAATCATAAATGAATTGTGAACTAGACAATCAACTGACTATGCTAAAGATATATAAGGTTATTAAAACAAAAAAAGAAATGAATAGATATCAAAAAATGTACATGGTCACATCTGTGACAGGATTAATATCTTAATAGGAAACAATTAGAGTATCTTAAATCAAGAGCCCTGAATTGAAACCCGAGAATAACAGTTACACACCAGAGCAATATATAGATTTGTACTTATTTATTATTATGGAAAATTTTGAACACAGAGAGTTGAGAAAGTATTTTATAACATATTCCTATCTTGATACTCTATCAACGAGCTTCAAGGATGACCACTTTGTGGCGAATTTTGTTTCATTTATGCTCTCATTTGCTTTCCCATCATTTTTCTTGTACTGAGTTCTTTTAAAGTAAATTCTAGACATTATGCCATTTCATTCACAAAATTTTCAGACATACATTTTGAAATATTAAAATAAAGAGAGTTCTTTTCATGTAGAACTAAGAAAGATGGGAAAAAGTCTTTACCCGTGTATGTTTCTGTGATCTTGATTCCTTAGTATGCTTTGATGTCTTCGACGCATGCACGTTTTTTGGAACAGAACTGGCCTTTGTAGTGACTTTTGGAGTTTCACAGGCAGGGACTGGAACCAATGGACCAGTCATTGATGATGACCGCTCTGCCTGTGGCTTTCTGGATGTCACCACATGATGGTGATGGTTACTACTGCCACTCATTTGAGAAAGAGAATCTGAACTTACAGACTTCACAAGTCTATAAGAGTGGAAAAAAAACAAAGAAAAACAAAAAACCAAGAACAGATTAAGTGAATCACAATGAGTTCTATTTTTTTTGTCTTAAATGTTATAACTCTATCCATTCAAACCTAAGATCAAGAAAAACAAACAGTATTTCTTACTACTCAGCCTTAAATAGGCAATCAATTTTGTATTATAACACTATCCTTTTACTTCTTCAAATGAGGGAATAAAACTGAAGGCAATGAATTTCAGCAAGTGGGAAAGCAACAAGCAATATTATTATACTTTCCCTTTCCCCCTCTCCAATTTCCTCATTTATGACATCATAAATCATCTTATAGCATGATAAGTGATTATCTTTATAGACTTAATACTCATCTATTAAGCATACATATTTTTATATTAAGAGAATTTTAACAAAAAAAAACATAACCTGTATCATATTATATCTTTGAAACTGTGTGCAAAACAAATGTATTAAATCCAAATAAGCTACAAAAGTGGTTCTTGATTTAATATTTCTATAATGTTTACACTTGCTTCCAGGAAGACTGAAATTTTTCTTTTTTCAAGATAGTCATGTAGCCTTCACTTTTGCTAGTAGGGAAAGCAACCAGAAGCCATAGGTTACTTTCTTTTCTGGAACACAAATCTTTTAATTAGACATAGTTCAGAAATAAGAAAGTTACAAAATATAGTAGCCCAAATGTTAAATGGGTTTACTTTTATCACATATTAGAAAAAATCATGAATTTATAAAGTAGTTATAAAAATAATTTAGTTATTCCATATCAGAGAAATAGTATTCTAATACTTTTACCTGTTCAAAAGAAATTTGAAATTTTTGTCTTCATATATTTCATACTTTTTTGAAGACCTAACTACAATAAGAACTATGGTTTGCTTTAGGTACCAAATACCTAAATTTCAAAAAAAATTGTAGACATAAAAATGCAACAGAAATTAGTTTTTCATAAAATTCTAATTTCTGATCAAGTATTTGCACATTTTATTTAACTAGGAAATATAGTTCCTAAAAAAAGTTTCATACAATATACTAATTATGTGGTCTTCAAAGGTGTATTTCATAGGTAATAAATAGTTTTAAAATGGTGCCTCGTGGACTCCTTGCTTAAGGGCCAACACAGGCAGGATTCAGTGGGGAGAGGGAAGAAGGAACTATTTGGGGCTGGAGCTTACATGTCCAAATACCCTCTTCAACAGAGCAGCTCAGCTGCTTAATCTATTAGGTGAGATCTCTAGTGTTCCATGGCTTAAAAACTTTACACTCTGTTGTGCTAATGGACTGTAAATTAGTACACACAGCAAGAAACAGTGTATTTCTTTCCAAGTCATTTCTTTTTATAACTTATAAGCAAAATCATAAACTGCTCAAAATAAAAACAAACTTTCTGGCATGAAGGAACTAATATAAAATCCAAGCARAAAGCAACTTAAATATTATGAAAGACTAATATGAAAAGAAATGTTCCCTATAGTCTAAAGTACTTTCTCTCGAGATTATTTTTGTGCACTTAATATATCACCTTTTGGGGGGATGAAGGCAATTCAGATCTTGAGATCTCCGTTTCACCYGAGGTATCTCAGTTCGTAGTTCACTTTGCAAAGCTTCTCCATCAGGAACACTCCCAGGCTCTGACAGAACTGCAGGAGATGGAAGAGGGCTCAACACTGTAGGGACTGGAAAGCTTTCTCTGGTGCAGGTAGTTTGAGTTTCATAACGAATAAGACGAGACTGAAGTTCAGAAAATCCCCCATCTCTTTCTAAAGATTTTCGGTCATCTAAACAATATCTAAAACGAAGGAAAGATCATTAAAATCAAAGCATCCAAGAGAACAAAGGGCTTTTAYTTTTCAAACAGAAAATATGGAGACATTTTCTTAAAGTTCTTAACTTTCTAATAACTGTTGGAAGGTTGAATGAATAGCTTACTTCCCCCACAAGTTCAGTATTTTTTCAAGCTGCTATATAAAAGGGCAAAAGATTTTAAAATGTGAATTACAATCTAACTTTTCTTTGACCGTGTTTCTGGGCAACAGATTAAGTTAATCCTCTGACTTAGTTTCAAAATAATACAGTTGCTGTTTTGATATTTTTTAAAACTCTAGCAACCTCTGATTTCTCAGCATGGCTGATATATAACAACATGAAATGCTGACTTCTGTTAGAAAGGGCAAGTTTATTTTCAACACAAAGATTAAATGGTATGAAGGCATTTTAAGATGGCTCACTAAATAGCTCAGAACATTTTGAATTTTTTCATTGAATCTTACCAACCTTACTGACAGATTTTCTTTCAAACACTTGGGTTGTCTATATCTGATTTCTAGCTAAATCTGACTCAGGGAACCAATGAAATTTAGTTCAGCAAATGCTTCAGGACTCAAAGGAATTCATGTTGTTAAGCACAACAAATAAGCAATGAGGAAACTTTGCAATGCATATGGTCCTTCACCTTCTCCCCTTTTTTACAATTGCATCAAGGAAACAGTGTCATGCATGCAATTGTAGACTTAAAAAATTAATWCCTTTCTGTGTTATCTGTCCTTTTCACCTGCGAAATTCTAAAATGTTCTCTAAAATCAGATTTTTGGAGTTCAATTCTCAAAGAGTGTATTATTACCAGAAGATATGATTGCCTGGTGGAGTTTTTAAGAACTTTATCTTTCCCTTTAATGACACATATTTGATTTCTAAGAACACAGAYCATGGAGCCTAATGCTTTGGATCTAAATCTGAGTTCCTCTAGTGAACTTAGATAAATTGAAGCAAAGTCCAATTACTGACTGACTAACTCCATCTTGTTTCTCTATAACCTGTTCTTTTCTGAGTTATTCTTCTCTTCAGTTTCTGTTAAATTCTAGGACCATAAGTCTGATATATAAACATCATATGATGGAACTGATGAAACTGCCCTCCAAGCAGCAGCAATTTCCTTCGCTCTGCTAGAAGTGCACAACCAGCCTCAGGATAATGACCAACCAGATCCGGGCCTGACCAAGATTGCCAGCTGTACAGATCTTCTTACCTCTTGACTTTGCTCTTTTCCCCCTATATAACCTCAAAGCTCTTGCCAACATCTGAAGACAACCCTTATTTCTGTTTTTCTAATGAGGCCACACTAAGAATAAAGACTCCCTTTCCTATTACACAACTGATTTTTGTTGGTTTGATTTTTTCCCCTTTGGGATGAGTGGCCAGGCCTGACGTCTTGGGACACTGGTAACAAAATTGCTTAAGTTCAGTTACACTCCAACTGCCCAATCTGCAAAATGAGATTCATAGTATTTATCTGAAAGAGCAAATGTGAGCATTACTTGAATTGGTACATATGAACATTGAAGCCAGTGCCCATAAACACAAGCAAAGCAGACAATGTATGCAGCTACTATTCCCATCAACATTACATTTATTTTCTACCATAGCAAATTTTATAGAACACTAATAATATGCAGTACAGCTAAAATTTAAACACAAGTTGGTGACTTTGGAGCTTGCCTTTAACCATTATACCATATCATTTCTTATGTAAAGTATAATGACCATCTCACTCAGTAGTCTACACATAGCTGAACATTAGCATCATCTGAAGAGTCTTAAGAAATATTACATGTCCATTGTATTGGCACCAAAACAGAGATGAAGACCAATAGTACAAAATAAGAGCCACAGAGACAAATACACAAAGTCAGCAGAAGAACCTACTTCCTCAACAAGATGCCTAAAGTGCAAGGAGTTAAAAATCAGGAATCAATAAACAATCAAGAACATGGAGAGCCTACAGAATGGGAGAAAATCTTTGCCACCTACACCTTAGATAGAACATTAATCTCCAGGATACAGAAAGAACTCAAAAAACACCAAAAAAAAAAAAAAAAAAAACCTAATAACCCAATCAATAAATGAGCAAAGGAACTGAACAGGCACTTCACAGAAGAAGAAATGCAATCGGCCAACAAATATATGAAAAAAATGTTCAACATCTAGCAATTAGAGAAATGCAAATTAAAACTACACTGAGATTTCATCTCATGCCAGTCAGAATAGCAAGTGTAAAGAATAAAAGTACCAAGAAATGTTGGYGAGGATGTGGGGGAAAAGGTATGCTTATACATTGCTGGCAGAACTGCAAATTGGTCCAATCACTATGGAAAGCAGTATGGCGATTCTTTAGAAAACTTGGAATGGAACCACCATCTGACCTAGTTATCCCACTCCCTGGTATAAACTCAAAGGACTTAAAATCAGCATACTACAATGACATAGCCATATCAATGTTTATAGCAGCTCAATTCACAAAAGCAGAGGTATGGAACCAACCGAGGTGTTCTTCAACAGATCAATAGATAAAGAAAATATGGTATATGTACACAATGGGATATTACTCAGCAATAAAGAACAAAATTATGGCATTTACCAGTAAATGTATGGAACTGGAGACTATTGTGCTAAGTGAAATGAGTCAATCCCAACAAACCAAAGGTCAAATGTTCTCTCCAATATGTGGATGCTAACACACAATAAATTGGTGGGAAAGAATAGAAGTTCATTGRATTAGACAAAGGGGAATAAAGGGAAGCAAGGAAAGATAGGAATAGGAAAAACAGTGGAATGAATTAGACGTAACTTTCCTATATTTATATATGAATACACAAACAGTGTACTGCCACATTATGTACAACCTACTGTCATGTATATCTAAAAAAAAAAAAAAAGAAAAAGAAAGAAAAAGAAAAGAAATATTACATGCCCAGAGTTTCTGACTTAGAGTTGGTCTAGGTATGACTGATTTAGGTGTTCTTTCCACACATAAAAAAAGGGGGTTACTATGTAAGATGATGGGTGTTAATTTGCTTGACTACAGTAATCATGTCACTAGGCATATTCATACCAAAATATCATGTACATCTTAAATACAATTTTTTACAAAGCTACTTAGGTAATGTTAAAGTATAGTTAGGAATGAAACATCTCTGATTTAACCTAATAGCTTACTTTAGACAAAATGTTAATTGGTGGGTCTCTCGATTCTCTAATATTCTTTCTCCAGGTTGTTGTTTAGTAAAATGTACTTCATTAAAAATCGGTAGCAACCATAAAAAATACTGATGCATTCTACTTCTGTCTTGGGAAATTGGTAAAATCTAGAGTAAAATTAAGAAACATGAACTGTAAAAAAAATTCTAGTCAAAAGGCAACATAATGCCTGATTAGCTTGTATGCAAATTACTTTGAAAGAAAATGGTAGATATTTTGATTCTAAGAATATGTTTTTGTATCCAACTATTTAGTTTCTAAGATGTAGATATATTTCTTCTAGTTTTTTTTTTTTTTTTTTTTGGTACTGGGAATTGACCCAGGTGTGCTTTATCACTGAACTACTCCCCCTTTTTATTTTTTTATTTTGAGACAGGTTCTGGCTAAGTTGTTGAGGCTGGCCTCAAATTTGTGATCTTCCTGCCTCAGCCTCCAGAGTCTCTGGGATTATAGGCATGTGCCATCATGTGCAGCTTCCCATTGTTTCTTTTTTTTTCTTTTAATTTTTTTTTTTTTTTTTTTTTTAGTTATAGATGAAGACAATACCTTTATTTAAATTATTTAGTTCTATGTGGTGCTGAGGATTGAACCCAGTGCCTCACACATGCTAGGCAAGTGCTCTACCACTGAGCTACATCCCCAACCCCCAACTGTTTCTTGATCATAGCTGTTCATAATATCATTCCTTCAAATGTATTACATACACTGTACATTTTAACTTTAGTCGACACATAAAATATCCATGATTATACTACAATTTACTAGAGAAACAAAATTACTTTGTAAATCAGAAAGGAAAAAAGAGAGTAGTGAGGTATATATTTGATATTAGTGAAATAAATATATATTGTTGAAAATTATAATTTCATATTTTATTACCAAAGAATAACCAAATGCTTTATGGGTCCTAACAGAGAAAAAATAAGTTTCATAAGATGAAACTAATTTTATTTTATAACTAAGAAATAGATAAAAATATGTTTACTACATACAAGGCAATAACAATGGAGATAGGAGAGACTTGTCAAATCTCCTAGAATAGATGAATGAAATTACAAAGAAACAAGAGGTTGATGTGCAAAAGAACGTCACATTACCACAGCAGAGTTTAATCTGTTGTTTAACAAAACAGCATCTTTTACAATCAACATAATTTACCCTATAGGGCCAGTTAGATAAACAACAATCAATCAAGTTAACTGTAGCTGTACTTCTCCTTGCATGAAGAAACATTAATTTGCACACCTACACAGTTAAGAAGGTTTCTTTTAAATTAAAAAAAAAATTTAAACAAATATTCCTTTATGTTAAAGTAGAGGAAAAGCTTAGGGGTTCTAAAGACCCATTATAACACAGGAAGAAAGAACTTTAAAATTCCATTTGAGTTGTTTCAATCTATAATCTATGTTGAACATAAATAGGCCTTCACTCAATATACCCAAATCTTCTAGGAAAATATATTTCTGAATTCATGGTGCTTATCTCCTACTACTGTTTTGTCCTATCTAAATGTCTCCAGCTTAGTGAACATAAATTTACAGCAAAGAAATCTAAGTCACAGCTAGATCTGTTTGTAAAGAGGACACCTCCCTACTCCTTGATAATGCATCAGAGTCTTAAAATATTGTGTGCATAAATTAATAAAGCTGTGCAAATTTAGATTCATCAAGTAGTGTTCAAGTAAGTTTTTAATATTTTAATAAATGAACACGAAGAACATATCTTTTATAAATTCTAAAAATTTGTGTACCATTGTATTTTTCTTTTTTTTAATGTATTTTTTTTTTAGTTGTTGATAGACTTTATTTATTTATATACAGTGCTGAGAATTGAACCCAGTGCCTCACACATGCCAGGCAAGTGCGCTACCTTTGAGCCCCAGCCCCAGCCCGACCATTAGTATTTTTCTATGATTAAACTAAGAATAACAGGAAAAAAGTAGGGAGATGAGACTTAAGATAAACAACATTAAATTACAGAATTTGGGGAAACATAATCTAAAATATGGTTATGTGATGGATACTTCAAACTGAAGAGTCAAGTAAAAACGTGTCCTAGAGTAAGTATTTTGACTATGTGGTAAAGAAAATGTTAGTGAGAGAAATTGTTTTTCATCATAATGATATAAAATGCTTATTGGTTTCAACTTTAATATTCAAGTTATATACAAAATACCTAAAAATCCTACTTAAGTTCCTTTATTAGATTACAAAGCCCTAAAATTATCAAACAAATGGGGGAAATTCTGCTTTATATGTCATGTAATAAGAAGTTATAATATATTTTTAAAAGCAAGAAAAAGCAGAAAATCAAATTGAGAATATGTGGAACAATTTCTCATTTTTCATATCAGAGAGTCAATAACATTTTTATATGAAGACATTAAAAAATAGGGAAGGGACGGGGCATAGGGTTAGAAACGATGGTGGAATGTGATGGACATTATTATCCAAAGTACATGTATGAAGGCACGAATTGGTGTGAATATACTTTGTATACAACCAGAGATACGAAAAATTGTGCTCCATATGTGTAATATGAATTGTAATGCATTCAGCTGTCATATATAAAGAAAATATTAATGAAAAAAATATATTGACTGAAGCATATCCTTTCACTAGGGAAATGAAAACTAAACAAATAAAAGAGATGTTTCTGAAAGCTAGCCCTAGAGGTAGGTAGTAACAAAGGAAAAAAATTGTTGGTTCTCATTATCAAATTTTCTATAATGTTTAATAACTTGTTTTTCATAAAATCAAAAAGAGAGAACAAAAGAATATATCCTATTAATCAGATTTTTATATAGTAGAACAAAGAAGCTCCTAGTTTAATCTGATTAAGGTAAATATAGTACAAATAAAATGTGAACTTTGAATTCAATGCACAAAAGGCTATATAGCTAAGAATATAAATAATTTAACTAAAAGATTTATCAAAATTTAGAGCTATTTGGGAACCTATTAATGAGAGAGAATGACCATCCTCTAATGGAGTCCTTTCATCACTATTAGAAATAAAAAGGTGCAACAATGGCATCTTATTTTTTGTGACTGAGTAGTTGTCTTTGAATTGTCTATCATTTAAAACACAATTTTAAATCCAAAATCCTTATCTGAACCACTTAGATTCAAATTAGCTTTTCATATAAGACTTTCAGAAATGATTCATTATTGGATGCTGTATTTCCTATTGCTCATTTCAAAGTCCTCAAATTCTGATTTCAACTGTTTTGTTCCCCCACACACAGATGTTTAATGTTGTATGCATCAACATTTTGTTCCTTGTTACTGTTGAGTAGTATTATTTTATTTTATATATGGGTTTATTTATCTGTTCTCCTAAGTCGTTTCCCATTTTGAGCTATAAATAAAATTGCTCTGTACATTCTTATACAAGTCTTTTTATGGAGACAAGCTTTCATTGCTCTTGGGAAAATACCCTGTAGTGGAATTGTTGGGCTATAGGACATGAGCATGGCTAGTTTTATAAGGACTTGTTACCTCCTTTCTAAGCAGACAAAACATTTTATACTTTAAATAACACTGTGAACAATACCATTAGATAATAACTCTGTGTATGTCACCAATGTTTCCAGTAAGCTAAATTAATCAATCAGATGTCAGAAACATTTGTATGACTTTTAAAATTATGAGCTACCCTCCAGAAAGCTGCAGTGATTTATATCCCTCTGAGCTAGGTTGTTCACGCACCTTCACCACAATACCACTCAGAATAATGGGATTATGTTTAAATCACATATAGCAATGTTATGAGTGAAGTGTGCTCACTGTTGTTCCAATTTAAATTTTTTTTGATTAGTGAAGAAAAACGTCTTCGTGTATACTGGGTATTTGCATTTCTTGTTTCTGTGGTTTCCTCCCTCCTTCCCTTCTTTCTGTACTGGAGATTGAACCCAGTGGTGCTAAATCACTGAACTACACCCCTCCTGCCCCTTTCTATTTTTTATTTTGAGACAGGGTCGCAATAAGTTGCTTAAGGTCTTGTTAAATGCTGAGGCTGATCTTGAACTTGTGATCCTCCTGCCTCAGCCTCTGGAGTCACAGGAATTACAAGCATACACCACTGTGCCCAGCTTCATTTTTTCTTTGATAAACAAGAGGGTTTCAAGATTTTGCTAACTCTTCCACAGTGTATTCATCTTATATTCTTACTGACCTATAAGCATTCTTTAATTTTAAAGAAAATTTATCTCTTCTTTACAGTGAAAATATTTTCCTTAGCTTAACCTTTACTTTTGGTTGATTACTGATTTAATTATTTTAAAATAGAAACCTATCACTCTTTTCTTTTTTTGGTTCTCCCTTTGTTAGAATAAGAAAAAAAAAAAAAGGTCATTAGTCCACTTATGTTTCTTAAATAGCTTTTACATTTGTATTCTTCTTCCTATTTCAATGGCTTCAGAGTATTTTAGTCCCTTAACTTCTCTTGCTTGAAGTATTTTAATTCAAGGTAATAAAAGGCAATGGGAGTCCCTTCAATGGCATAAACCAAGCACATCATTTCAGGTGTTTAAAAACAATTTTTTAATCACCTCAAAAATAAGCATCAGAGCTAGACATGAGGGTATACATCTGTAATCCCAGTGACTCGGGAGGTTCAGCAGGAAGATTGCAAGTTTGAGGCTAGCTCCAGCAACTTATAGAGAACCTGTCTCAAAATGAAAGGGAATTTGGGATGTAGCTAGTGGGAAAGGATACCTGGGTTCAATCCTGTTACCAAAACAAACAAACAAAAAAACCAATTTCTCTGGCATGTCAACAATGTTCTTCATATTTATTACAACAGTAGTACTTATTAGAAGTAGTTGTACAACACTGCTACTTCTGCTTCCTAGAATCTGTAACCCTATGAATACCTATGAATAAGCAAGCTTTCTACTAATTTAATTGATGGAAAATTAACATAAAAGCAATAATTTGCTTTAAAACTATGAAACATTTCAATCACCAAGATCTTGAAAATTCATGGTAAAATATAAAATCTTCCATTTCCTGTCCCTGTGAAACTGGTAGATATGTACATAACCCCCAAAACCAATACATCAAGMAAGAGAATCATCAAAATGGTCAATTAAAATTCTAAAAAGCTAATGTAATTAACATGTTAAAAACAGAAACACATTTCAACGAATAGCTTCTAAGCAATTACAACATAATTAGTGACCAGGCAACATTGATGAGACCCACAGTGCAAATACACATGAATAATGTAGACACAAAATTATTTTTGATTAAAATATTTAATAACTAATAAGAGGATACTTAAATGATGTTAAACTGGTTAATCATCAAATAGCATTTTTCAACAGGAGACAAACTGTTTGTGTTTGTACAGCTCCCCCAACACTTTTTTTTTCTTTTCTTGAGGTTTTTAACATATTTTTTTCTTTGGCTCTGTCTCAATTTATATTATTTTATTATAGTCACCCTTCACATTCACATAAAAGACACTAGTTAACAACATGTAGGAGAGTAAAATGTAAATAAAAACTTACTCAATTCCATGATAATGACATACTGAGGCTTTTTCAAAAGGTAAGACCTGAAGTTTCCGAGGACTAAGTTCTGGTGTCAAAACAAAACTCTTTTCTCTGAAATAAAACAGTTTGCATTTGTATTTAAGATAGGGTAGTGGCAGAAAAAATGTACTGTCCTTCCTATATAAATTAGAATGTACTGATTAATATAGGGAATACTCTGAGGTTGCTTTTATTATTCCTTTTTCCTTTATATTTAATACCACAAAAGTGTAGGACATTTGGCTAAGGTAAAGGTGAGGAGGATTAAGGCTAAATGATAAATGCAGGAAGTATACTTGTAAATATCATGTAAGTAGCATAGGGCATTAATTAATTAAGGAAATGCAAGGCAATAGTATCTAAAAATGATTTTTGGAAACTGTAAGTTTATAACTTACCCCTTTTGAATCTGTAAAGGTTGAAGATCTCCCACTGGGAATCCATCTGAGGTGAAGTATTTCAGCAATTCTTTAGCATCCAATAATGTGATTGAATCCCGTGGACCTTCTTTGTGGCCCAGCAACTGTTCTGATGAACGAGGTAATGAACCAGTTCTGGAAAAATAATGTTACATACATTTATTAAAGGTGTATTTGAATTCACCATAGTCAGGAAAAGGTGATATAAGCATACCAGAGAAATACACTAAGAAAATTAAAGAATCACTTTTAGGGAAGACCATAAAGTAAAATATTTGTAAATCACTTCATTTTAAACTATATTTTTTAAAAATATGTAGGTTACATTGAAAATTTCAGTTCCCATGTCAAAAATTCTATTACTTAAATGAACATAATTATGTTATTTATAAAAGACTGTATATTCATTATTCAGTAGTGTGAAGTTTCCAATTCTATAAATTTTAAATCCAAACTCCATAAAATTATAAATTTCTAAAGGCAAGAATTGAACGTTCCAATTTTCTATGAACTTGAAAGATTACTTAAAGCACAACCATGAAATGAGACAGTAATAGGAATTTTCTCCAAGGTCTCCTCTAGCCAGGATTATGACATTATGAATATACACTGAATCATTATTACATCTGAAATATGTGCAGGACTTTATACTTTTCAAACAGCTTTACATATAATAACAAATTCCCTTGAAAAAGATGAAATAGATCTTATTTTAAAATGAAGTAACACCTAAAAATAAGTCCTTTATAAAGTGAAAATCAAGCCTWAAAAAATCATTATTCCTATTTTTCAGCTAAAGATTCTAACACACAATAGGTTATATTACAGATGCAGGGTGATTCAGCTATTTAAAATGACAGGACTAGACTAACTCCAAATTAAGTACTACTTCTACTCTATCAAAACATAAACCAATAAAAGTTCATAGAAAATTATATTTAGAAAATTAATTTACCAACTTCATATTAATTTATTTCCTATTACTCACATTAAGCATTTTTCTGATAATTACATGATTAAAATAATGACATTGTGGTTTTAGACTTACATTTCTATACATTAAGGAYTACTCACATACTGAAATGCCCCTTCCATTCTATTCCATTCTCTGTACTTTAAAATTGAAAGTATAAATCTTAAAAAAGTTGAACAGAAAAACACTCAAACATTTTCTCTGAACATCATACTTCAGAAGGGCAGGAATTGCATTATGAGTTTAATTGAACTTCTACGTAGCTACTAATAGTGACTTACAAAGTTTTCTTAATGAATATCACTCTAATATTACAGGCTAGATGMAATGGGAAAATGCATAATTTGCTTTTATACAGAACACAACATACAAGCATATCAAAGCAATTAGAAGCTTTGAATTATACTACTGAGATGTCTTAGGCTAAAAAATAAATAAATAACAATGTTGACAATACTTTATTCTGTTCAGTGTTTTCAAATTTATAGTTATTTTCCCCCATATATTCTCTCATTAAATTTTCACAACTTTCAAGTAGAATGAAGTTTTTATCCTCATCCTAAAGATGAGGCAACAAAGTCACACAATAGGTGATAGAGTGGGTCTAAAACCAAATTATGAATTTGGACATTTACTATCTAATGATCCTATACTGTCTAGTTAAATCTGTTTTAACACAAAACAAATTTTGAAAATATATGCCACAACTTGCCCCAAGGTGACAGTGTCTCCAAATCTTTTGAAGTCCCACAAGTATTTATTGAATATTTACTTTACAAATATCATTATGACATAATAAAAGAGTCCACTATAATCTCTAGACCAATAATCATAATTACTACATGTAAAATTTACTGTAGGGGGCTGGGGAGGTGGCTCAAGCGGTAGCGCGCTCGCCTGGCATGCGTGCGGCCCGGGTTCGATCCTCAGCACCACATACAAACAAGATTTACTGTAAAGGTCTGACTTAAAATAGGAGAAATGAGGGGAAAAGATAAATATATCAATGTAGAATGAGTTACAAAAAGGTATAAGAAAAGGAGTTTTACGAACAAAGTGGGAAGGTAGTATACTTACTTGTTTACAGAAGAAATATATAACAGAGTTCCAGGGTTTACAGGAGGCTTAAGAGAAAGGTGGACCTTGAACGCCAAAATTACTTCTAGCTCAAGATGAGATTAAACACACACATTAAGTTCTCCACTCAAGCAAAATGAAATCACAATGGTGAAGTACCGGAAATTAAATGAATAATGGATGTTAAGAAAAGGAAGAAAGTAAAAACAGTGGACCAAAGAATTCAATGAATTTCAAAACAGGATACACTACACAAGCTCCTCCACAAGAACTAGGGGGACAAATATAAAGAAAGGTGTAAATTCGGTCTTCCTTTCTCAGGAAGCCACAATGAGACAATAACTTTGGGGTCACAGAATGACAATGGGCACAAATCAAGGTGACAAATTTTAAGAACTATAAATTCTCAGAAGAGTGGTGCAAGGACTACTGTCCTATACCATACACCTCACCCTTGTGCTTTTTATCTCTAAAAACAAATTCTTTTTTTTTTTTCAGAGTAGAAATTAGAAGTTTATTAAAGGACAGCAGAAAAGACTTCTCCCGGAGGAAGAAGGGAACCCAAGAGGTGAAATCCCTCTAAAAACAAATTCTTTAAAACTAATAGAACCAAGTGCCTCTCCTAGGGTCAGTGTTAATGGCTCAGAATTAAGACCTCCAGCCCTATTTAGTGCTGGATGAAAAGCCAAGGTGGCTTGCCTACTCTTACCTTAAAGTATACCCTATAGTAAATCCTACCACACATGCCCCGCATTGCAGCTCCTTACCCAATATTAACCCAGGTGAAAGCAGCTGGGGATAGGAGTAGACATTTGGAGAAAAAGCACAGGCCAATCATCTGTAAAAACCAACCTAGCCCTAAGCTTTTAGCTGTGGAAAGACAACCAAGACACTGGAGAAAAACTATAGAAAAGAAACCACCACTACAGGGAATTGAGACCATCAAAGGAACAGTTAAAATGAATACAGGAAATTCTAATTAATATCCTTACCTCTCATCTCAAATCTCAATACTATTAAAAGAAGGATAGGTTGCTACTGAAAAAAAAGGACAGAAATACAAGAAAAAATATTAGGAATTTAAAATATGACTACTATAATTTTTAACAGAAAATATAAAAGCAGTGATGAAGAAATAAATGAGGACATGCAGCAAAAAAAGGATAGACTTTCTTTATTTTTATATAAGAGATTGAAACCAGGAGTATTTTACCATTGAGCCACATGCCCAGACCTTTTTAATTTTATTTTGAGATAGCATCTAGCTAATTTGCTGAGGAGGCCTCAAAGTTGTGATCCTCCTGCCTCAGCCTTTCAAGTCAAGAAAAGATTATCGAGAGAAAAATCAAATTAGAATTAAAACAATAATCCAGTAAATTTAACATTAATTAAAACAGGTATTTCAGAGAAAGAAGAAGAAGAAGAAAATGAAGAACATTCTGAAGAAATGATAGAATACTTCTCAGAGCTAAAAAAGACAAATCTTGAGACCAAAACATTCCTTACTGTTATCTCATATCTCAAAACCCTAAATTWAAAAAAATTAAAAGTTTTAGGGACAGAATCAAATATCTATCAAGGAACAAAAGTTGATCCAAAATAATAAGAAACTTATCTAGGAAAATGATCAAAAGAAATTCCATGATAACAGCTGTGTAGATAAAAGGGGTCTGGCCAGGTTAGAATGGGAAGTCAGAGAGGAGAAAGAAAAATAGCTATAAAATGAGAAGAATTAGGGCTGGAGTTGTGGCTCAGTGGTAGAGCACTCACCCAGCATGTGTGAGGCCCTGGGTTTGATCCTCAGCACCACATGAAAATAAATAAATAAAGATATTGTGTCCAACCAAAAAATAAATATTTTTTAAAAAGAGAAGAATTACCCACTACAAATAAACAAGAAGGATAAAAAGGGAAGAAAAATTGGTACATTAACTTTATCTTTGTGGGAAATGAAAAGATATCATCTAAAATTGGTGGRCAAGAAATTGAATAATCTGTTCTTTTCCCACTCTTCTTTCTCAGTCATTTTTTCCTTTAACTGTAAACACCAGAGATCCTCAGGGAATGGTCTTAGGACCTATCTCTTTTTTCCTCATGGTCTCATCAATTATTGTAGTGACCCTGAGTTTAATGATAACTTCAAACTGAGTTCAAATCCCTCTTCCAGTCCACCTGACATTTCCATTTGGATGATTCATAGATCAAATTTAGCATCCCCAAAGCACTGATTTTTTTCTCCCCAAATCTGTCTTACCCTAACTCCCTATCCGTCTCTCCCACCTTATATATAAGAACACTACCCTGTACTGTTAAAGCTAGAAAACTAAATTATCATGAATGCTTCTCTTTTACTCTCTACAACCAATCCATCATAGGAAGTTTTTATTTACTAGCTTTCCATCAAAATATATCACAAATTTGTTCATCATTACCCTAGTTTGAGATCAGTTATCTCTCAACCTGCAAATAAAAAGAGGCATATTACAGATCTTTCTGCCTCTACTCTTTCCCTCCTGAAATCAGTTTGCCACAAAAGAGCCAATATTTTACAAAATCAAATCCCACCAGCTTTTGGTATAAAATCTTCCAAAAGCTAACCAATGTATTTATACTGAAGTCCAAACTCTGTATGATAACCTATTTGGTCCTCTACAAGCAAATGTGCTTCACCCATTTATCCACCAGGGTGCACTTTAAGTGAGAGCTCTCCCTGCCTCCAGGAGTCAGTAGTACTATGTGAACATAAATGAAACAGCTAAAGAAGTGACTCAAATGAAGAGAGTACTTGTACTTCATTTTCCCTTCATTTTACTTTTGTTTCAATGTTCCTGTATTAAATTTTTCTTATATATTCATATTTAAGTGTTTACAGAAGATGGTCTGGAAAGCTACATATCAAAATGCTCACTGTGGTTATATAATCCTGCAAAGTACAAATAAAAGGCAGAGGAAAAACAACATTTCCCTTTGAATTGATTTATTACTCTGTTGATTATCTATTTATGGAAAGCATGTATTCTTTTATTTTTATTTGATTATTTCTAATTTATTTGGTACCAGGGAATAAACTCAGGGTCACTTAATCACCAAGCCATGACCCCAGCCCTTTTTGTATTTTATTTAGAGACAGGGTCTCATAGAGTTGCTTAGGGTCTCAATAAGTTGCTGAGGCTGGCTTTAACTCATGTATCCTCCTGCCTCAGTCTCTGGAGCCACTGGGATTACAAGTATGTGCCACTGAGCCCAGCACATGTATTCTTTTATAATGAAACTATAAAGTATTTATATGTCATAAAAATATTAAAGCATTAAGAAAAAGTTGAGGCTGGGGTGAGGCACTGGGTTCAATCCTCAGTACCACACAAATAAATTAAATAAAGGTATTGTTTCCATCTATAACTAAAAAAAAGAAAAAGAAAAAGGAAAAAAAAAGTCCATTTAAAAATAATAAGCTAGACATGCTTTACTATGAACTCAAATATTACCTCATTTTTTGCTTAGCTTTTTCAAAAGTTTCTAAGTTGTGAAGAACATATCTTTCTGGCCATTCCAGAGAACTGGCTTCCATTAGATTTGAAGAATCAGATTTTACTGGACAGGCAGCTAAAGAGAAAGAAGTACACATAAATACTAAAAAGTATCACCATATTGAAATTTGTACACATGCACATATGTGTACATGGATAAATTTTGCTATACACATTTTTTTATGCATATGTATAAACTAACACAAACATAAATCTGTGTATGTATAAAGCCAGACTGGGTTAGTTTTAGAGTACTTACATTAGGCATTCATCAAAGACCTCTCTGATGGCCTGAACTGTAGAAAATGCCATAAGAAGTTTGTTGAAGTTTGCCAGAGATGAAAATAAATGTCTCCTCAAAACAAAAGTTATGAGCTAGGATTCATAAAACTGAATTAGAACTATTAGCTTATGAAACAAATTTTGCTATTTTTAGTGAAATTAGTTCTCAATGAAACTTCACAGGCAGCTCTGTAAAGAACAYATTAGATATACTACAAGATTTTCATAATAAATACAGGTTTAGTACAAATAAACTAAAAAATTCCTTATCTTTAAAAAGAGAATATCTTATTCTCAAAAGCACAATAATAAAATAACAAATAATTTATGATATTCTCAGGTAAARGTTACTCAGAAATAATTCTTGCTTATCTGTTAATATAAGATGCCTTAACATATACATCCTCATATTGCTAACATTGAATGCTATTTTCCTACTTATAAAATRTAGGTAAAAAGTGTATTTGTCTTTCTAGCTAATTTGCTGCACTGAACTGCATCAAGACTMTAAGAAAACCTAGAGGTTCAGCTTCTGTTCTCATCAGAAATATAAGTGCATCCAAACTACTTTAACACTGGCAAAATTACTTACTATTTTTTTTTATTTTAAACTATCTGCTTCTATTTTTAAATATTATACATTATTCTAATAAATGGAATGGAATGCATTGAACATTAGGTGTTTAACCATCAATGATAACAGATATATTCATTTTATATTTGGGAGAAATCATAAAATGATGATTCAGTATGGGAAATTTTAAACAAATTTTAAGAAATGAAAATGGAAACCAACTGAATACTTTTCGTTTTACTTATAAAACTATTTAAGCTTGAATGTGTAAAACATTTTCAACATCTATATTGTAATGCACTCACAAACACCATATAAATACACCATTTTCCATTTATAAATAAAAGGTAAAATACTATTTTATAGAGCAAGGAGCACAATAATGAAATAACATACTTCTTAATGGAGACATGGCTTTCCACTGAAAGTATAAAGAATGAAAATCAATAGCAGTTCTGCACAGTTGCATGCTGAGTTCATAAAATAATGCAAGCCATCTTTAAAAAATAGTCATTAAATTGTCCCTAAATATCACAATACAATTAATTATTAACTTGGAAAATACAATCTAATAAATATAAATGACATAGGCTAAATATTAAAGAATGGGTGGACAAACATTCATAAACATCATGTCTTTTGAGGAATGACTTATATAATTCTTACAGTAAAATAAAATACAGTGTTTTATTTATGTGATAGGACTATCACATGCCACACCAACAACCAAAGAGTACCAAAAAGATCTCTGAGAAATCAATAAGACTTTTTTTTTTWAAAAAAAGTATYTTATTTTACAGGAGAAACAAAGAAATAGAATCAATACAAAATGGAAATATGGGAAACTGCCCTACAAAATAAAAAATCACAGTGAACACAAAGTAATGCCACTGATAACAATATGCAGTTAATGAATACAAACCATGGTAATCTTATATGCCCAAATATGAATGAATCACTGAGAAAGGTTATAGTATAATTGATATAATCTGTTTGATAAAGCCAGAATTATATAGACTGTTTGAAACAATAAATGTATTATCTCACATAATTACCTAGTGAATTCTTTTAGGTAGTGCTTTCACATGCCCCAGTGATCCCAGGTAAAGGACAGAGTCATTATATTATGAGTTGAGGCATCACATTTGGCTCTGTGAAAGTCTTTAGCAACTTCATGAAAACAGTAAACAAGATAGTTAGAATAAGGTATTTTCAACTTAATAACTTGTCACTTGTTACACATGCTAGAGTTTTTTAAAACAATGAGCAGATTAAGTAACCCTACCAACTGCAAATAACTTCTAATGTGCATGGTTGCAATAATGGGTCAGAATATGAAACATGATTATTGGCCTTACTGTTTCTACATGTAATATAGTTTACATGTGGAATCATTCAAATCAAAGCTACAGGAACACTACAAGTTATGTTCAAATGAATAGTCTGTCAAATTTCACTTGAGGTTCTGGAAACCTTTAGTGTTTCTTGCATTTGTTCAAGTATTTGCGGGAGCTCCTACTCCGTCAGGCTCAGGGGATACTAGAGAGAACATAATAGGCACATTCTTTACCCTCAGAGAACAGTTCAGAGAGAAGATAAATATTAATAATAACCTATAAATGAGACAATGTTAAAATATGATAAATAGTTTGAAGGAAAAATATAGGGAGTGAATATATCAGGAAACAAATTAACAAGGTCCAGAAAAATCTCTGTGAGAAAATTACATTAAATAGACATCTAAAGAATGACTATCAGTTAATCAGGGAAAAGCTGGGGGAAAAGGCTACAGCACAGGACACTGTGTAGGTGGAAAGCAATAATGTAACATGTCTAAGGAATAGAAGAAGTCTGTGGTAGGCAGGAAACGTATGGGACACTGGAAGGCTAGAATGAGCATGACGCCAGATATGATTTCAGGATTTTATGGGCCATATTAAGGGCAAGACATTCCCAGCAACTGGAAGCCATCAGAAAGGTCTGAGCAAAGGAGTGATATAATCTGACTCCTATTAAGGATGGGCACTCCTATAGCTCAGTGTTAAGAATGTCCTAGCACTTGATTCTGTACAGGTAACTTTAAGATACATTGCCCTAAACTTATTTTAAAAGCCCTAGCAATTACTTCTCAAATCTCCTAACTTTCAACCCTTACCTAGCTCCTTTGTAAATACTCTGGTTAGTCAACTTCTCTCAGTTTCCCTTTTCTTACGTCCATGACTGGTTTGCTGCTGCTTCTCCTTAGAAAATTCTATTTTCTCTTCTCTGTGTACATAGAATTCTCAATTGAGTCCTTGAACTCCTAACAAACCTTGCATGATTACAGTCAGTCACACTGACTCACTCAACCAACACATATATAGCATTTAGTTCACACTAGTAACTTCCTAAGCAACTCACAAATAATTAATTTAATCTTCTAATTTAAAGACAAAGAAAATGAAGCTCAAAGAGGTTAGGAAACATGCCCACAGTCACACAGCAGGGCCAGTGCCAAGCTCACTCAACCATTCAGCTTGCTCCAAAGCCCACGTCGCAGCCGTGAAGCCATGCTCTTATTTATTCAACACATCCTCCATTAATAATGTCTCCAGCACCTTTCTGATTGCTTTGCACCAATATTTAAGTTTGGTACTGATATGGAACAATGACAATACAAATGACACTAATACTTTTTTGGCACCTACTGTGTTCTAAGTGTTTTATAGGAATCAAGTCATTTAATCCCCATAAGAACCCTAGAGAGTGGGCTATATTATTATTCCCATTTTAATCATGAGGAAACAAAGGTATAGAGGTAAAATAATTTATCCAAAGACATTCAGCAAACAAGTGACAAATCTAATATTTGAACCCTGACAGAATCTGCTTTTCAACATGGCAGTATATGCTGTTTCTATATCTAGCTTTCCAATTCAATTGCAATCCTGTTTTTCAAGATTTTCTGCATTTTCACTTCTTTGTGCACCTTCACGATATTAAACAGATAAGGCACTCAACAAACATTATTGCTAACTTGATTCTGTGATCATTTTCTCATTTACCAAAGTAATCAAAATGATTTTCTCAGAATACAAACAAAAATGTCTTCTATATTTAACATTCTGTCAAGATATCTTCAAATGCTTTCTTTCTAGATACTGAAAAGTTTCACTGTATTCAAATTCATCACAACAGAATTCAGGAAAACAGACAAAAATCTAGTTAAACATAGAAGGAGGTGCTCCTTCAGTGAAGTTTGGTGACTATTCCAGCCCTAATGAATGGAAAACATGAAGTATTATACCATGTGAAGTTTTACCTCTGTTAAATTTAATGTGTAGATTTTACTTTCTTCACTTTCTGACAATATACCTTAACAGAAATCCTATTACAGAATTTTAACAGTTCAGTAAAACTAACAAGGATCATCAAATAATGCTTCTCCCTCGGCTCAATAAAAGATGTTATCAAAAGGTTTAGTATAGTTAAGTCATATGTACATAAATGTATAAATATATATCATTATTTAAATTTATAAAAATACATTTTGACTTGACCAATACATCTTTTAAGTTATAATAAGAAATAATAGCTACTGTAGACACCACATACACAGAGAAAGAATAAAGTATAACAAAGAGCTTACCATTTAACATATTGGAGGTTTTAATTTTGTCAGTTGGTCTTACAACTGTTTTAGGAATAAGAGCATCAAAATGATGTAAAAAGCGTTCCCTTGTGAGTACTAACAGACTTTTAAGTTCATCAACAGAAATTGCTTCAGGCTGCTTTGCCAACTTTCTCCTTTCTGCAAGACAAATCAATATAATTAACCATATGACTTTTTTTCAAGTCTCTCTAGTGCCCATATACATACAAGTCCTTTATGAAAAACATCTTCAAAACTYAAACAAGCCAATTTCTCCAATAAACCACCCTTTCATCTTAATCTTATTTGCAGACAATGGTAGAATTCCTAGTTCTGTGAGATAAAGAGAACAAGCATAATTTGTTAACACCAAAAATTGATAAAACAGTAAAGGCAAGTTTACAAAAGTTTTAGAAATATTGCAAAGCATTAAAAATGGCCTTATGTCAGTATTTATGTGAAAATAAAACTTGTTGACCTTCAGTTAAATATGGGAGCTTGGCCCTTCTATATCTTGACCTTTCCAAACCTAAAAACATATAACAAAGGAATACAATGGGAAAATAAAAGAAAAAAATGATTAAAAAATGATGTTTCTCCACAAATTTGGAAGACAGAAATGACAGTGGAATGATAACTGAGTCAGCACAGCAGAAGAGGTATGACCTTGGGTTTCTGCAAAGAAGCACCACCAAGGAGTATGAGGCAGGTGGTGGTGAGGTGTGCCTGCAGCAGGACTGGGTATATAGGGAGTAGTCAGACAGCTCCCCAAGTTGATCCTCCAGCACTCAGAGCCAGGCAACTCTGCTTTCATTTTTGGGAAGGTAAGCATCCTGGGGTTCCCCTAGGGACTGAACCCAATGAYGCTTAACCACTTAGCGACCTCCCCGGTCCCCCTTTTTAAAAAAATTTTGGAACAAGGTCTCACTAAGTTGCTTAAGGCTTTGCTAAGTTGCTGAGACTAGTTTTGAACTTGAAATGCTTTGCCTCAGCCTGCTGAGTCTCTGGGATTACAGGCTTGTACCAGTGCATCTGGCTGCTTTCCTTTTTTCTTTTTTTTTTTTTTTTTGTCCCAGACTATAGAATATTAGACATAATGAAAGTCTATATAGCACTGAAAGGTTAGACTCTGAGCCCTGATGCTAGTAGTTTTACTACCCCACTAGAAAGTTAAAGGATCACCTTAGAAAAACTGAACACTCTCAGAGAAAAAAGGTCCAGATACTAATATTGGTGTAGGGACAGATTGGTCAATTTTCACTCTCCAGTGAAGTTTGCCGGTGACTACATTAGACATAGGCCAATAAAGTGAAATTTAAGACAGCATGATGGAAAAGAATCACCAGACATCTAAGGAAAAGTGTTGAGGGGAGAGGGGCTCTCCATTTCCCAGGCCCCATGTTTATACATGTAAGAACTAAGTAAAACTTTCAGCTCCCTTCTGCCTCCATCATTCAATGAGTAAATCATGAACCAAGCATGTTTTAATAAACCCTTCTTTTCTTTTCTTTTCTGCTCACTGGTTTTTAGGATTCATACTCTGTATAGTATGGCAAAGTACCTTCCTATTATGGTTTGGATATGAGGTGTCCCCCCCAGAAGCTCATATGTGAGACAACACAAGAATATTCAGGTAAAATGATTATGAAAGTTGAAACCTAATCAGTAGATTAGTCAGTCCACTGATTCAGATTAACTAGGTAGTAACAGGTAGGGTGTGGCTGCAGGAGGTAGGCCAGGAAGGAGGCAGCTTGACTTTGAGATTTATATTTTGTCCCTGGTTTATATTTTGTCTCTGYTTCCTTACTGCCATGTCCTGAGCTGCTTTCCTCTGCCATGCCCTTCTGCCATGATATTCTATCTTACCTCTGGCCCAGAGCTATGAAGTTGGCTGTGAACTAAACCTCTGAAACCCTGAGACAAAATAAACTTTTCCTCCTCTTCTTGTTCATGGTTAGGTATATTGCATCACAATGACTCAAAAGCTGACTAAAACACTTCCCTTGCAGGTCTGGTCTGTAGTTGCCTAGCCGAGAGCTATTCAAGTTTGAGTTTGGATGTATATATAAGAAAGGTTTCCTGGCCATGATTCCAAATTACCATATCATTTTCCCCTATAAGTTATCTACATCTGTATGTTTCATTTTTTTCTATATTGGCTCCAACTCTGGGAGAGGAAGAAAGTATTATTGGGATCCCTCAAACTAAACATGGAAATCCAATATGAAAGATTTAAAGCAAACAAAGAGAAAAAAAGGAGCTCTACAGGGAAAAAAATGTTGCAGAGAACAAAAGAAAGGTCATGCTAATTAATATTCTCATAGATCAGATACTGGAACAAGTACTTGCTTTGATAAAAGAACAATGAATGAATAAGAAAGGACTTCTACAATTAAGCAAATGAGAGTTAAAAAAATTTAACCTCCATAAAAGAGCTGTAAAATGAAACAGAAGATGTCYCTCAGAAACCAGAATTAAAAGATGATACGGAAACAGTAATAAAAATTAAGTTCAGATAAGTTGGTATATAATTAATAAGAGTTCTAGAGAGAAAAAAAGAAACTGAAAGAAAATTTTTAAAGAGATAAATTAATAAAAAATTATCAGACTGAAGGATGTAAATCTTCTGTTGAAATGGACCCATCAAGCACACAGCTCAATAAATGGGAGAGGGGTTGGGGATGGGTTGTGGCTCATTGGTATTGTGATTGTCTAGCATAAAGAGGCACTGGGTTCGAGCCTCAGCACAACATAGAAATAAAATAAAGATACTGTGTCCACCTAAAACTAAAAAATAATTATTAAAAAATATTTTTAAAAAATAAAATAAATGGGAGAGGGGTGGATGGTGGGAGACAAAACATGATTCAGAATAAAGCTTCCACACAAAGTTTTCAGGAATGGGTGTTGATTGAGGTGGGTTGGGGAGATCTAAAGAAGACTGCAAAGAGTCAGAATGGTATTTGATTTTTCAACAAGAACACAGGAAAGCAGTTTGTAATGAAGCAATGTCTTCAAAATTAGGGTAAATGATTTTCAACCTCAAATTCTAAATGAATTATCAATCAAGCCAAGATACTTTCAGAAATGCAAGAATTAAAATTTTTACACATCATGAACTTTTACTCAAGAAGTTCCTAGAAGACRTGCCTCTACAGAACAAGAAAATAATCTAAGGGAGAAAAAAAGTAGTTGAAAAAAAAATCCAAAAAAGAAATCTCCAAGCTGTCAAAAGATTCAAGTAAGCAGTCCAGAGTTGAGGAAAATATGAAACGCTCCCAAAAAACATACAAAAATAAAAAAGAACTGGTGTGTTTGATCAACAATGAAGGCTAATGTTAAAAGTGTGGCAGAAATGTTGGAACGTATAGAAAAACATAATATTTTGTCTGTACACAAGAGTAATCAAATTAAAAATAAGGTGATGCTATGGTTTAGATATGAGGTGTGCTCCAAAAGCTCATGAGACAATGCAAGAATGCTCAGTGGTGAAATTATTAGATTATGAGAGCTATAACATGATGAGTGAATTAATCCACTTGGATGGTTTCCTTATTTGAATGGATTAATGGGTGGTGACTTGAGCAGGAAGGGTGTGGCTAGAGGAAAACAGGTCACTGGGGGCATGTCCTTGGAGATTATATTATCTCTGACTCCTAGTGCTCAAGGTTTCTCTGCTTTCTGGATGCCTTGAGCTGAGCAACTTTCTTCTGCTATGACCTTCTGCTATGGTAAGCTGCCTCACCATGGGCCCAGAGCAACAGAGTGAGCCAACCATGAACTCAATCTCTAAAACCATGAGCCAAAGTAAATTTTTCCTCCTCTGAATTGTTCCTGTCAGGTTTATTTGTCATAGCAATGCAAAGCTGACTAACACAGGTGATTTGATCATCATCATGAATTACATGGCTCAGCAGTAAACTTATTTATATAGTTATACTAATGTTAAACTAACCACTGATTTGGAAAAAAATTAGGACTTCACTGAAAGGGTCACTGTAAGAAGAAGTGAAAGTGATATGGAAACACTAAATCTTTATCAACCATAGTTAAGTGTTGCCTTTCAGTGAAGAATGCCTGAAATCAAGAAACAGAAGCATACTGTTCAGAAAATAGAAAAAAAATGTCAGGTGAACCAGATGGAAGGACAGAGAATAAATACATATGGATACAGAGGTTGAAAGATAAGGAGGGATAGGGAAGGAACTGCCATTTTCCATTTAAAATTTTTCAGTATCATCTGAATTTTTCTAATTGTACTTATGTATTACTTTGATTAAAAAAAATATTTCACCTTTAAATACTTCCAAACTAATAAAATTTTCTTCCATAATAAAATGGTAAGCTATAAATCCACAGAGAATTCAATTCAACAAACATCAAGAACCTACTGCCTGTAAAGTACCATGCTGTGCCCTTAGACATAGAGGGTTAAAGCACACTACACACAGTAAGCAAGGTGAGAATGTTAACAAGGCAAGGCAGTCCAGGGAAAGAAGCAACCAGTCTCAAGGCTCCACTTTAGAGCCTCAGCTTTGTGATATACACCTCCATAAAAACCCACTTCACCAACATGGATATTGGCAGGTCCTTCCAGATTTGAAAATTAACACGGGTTTCTATAGTCAAGAATATTAGTTTGGTAAAGAGTTATAATATATTGTTTCTATTACATCTTCTAGGTGAGAAATAAAAAACCTTGTTTTTTACTTTCTGCACAATCTGCTGAAAGTCATTCGAAAACAACAACAAAAAAATTACTCAAAGTACAAGCCTCACCTCTACTTATTAAAACTATCAATAATATTACAATTTGGAGATCATGGTAAGAATTCATATTGACCATATGACTGAGAAACAGGGAAAATACATGAAGTTTAACAGAATTACAAGCAGGATAATTTACATAGACAAAAATAATCTCTACATAAATGAGTCTATATATAATTGAAAAGGAAATACCTGGGAGAAAACTAATAAAATCTGAATGAGTGATCAAAGAATGCCTTATTCCTAAAAACATAGTAATTATTAAATTGAAATGTAGAATATCTACAAGTATCAGCAGAATGAGCACCAATCAGGTTTATAATGGGTTCTGTAAATTTTAAAAAGATGTGAGAAGCTCAGAGTTATGACTGTAATATTGGAGCAAAATTATAATATTATTTTTATATTTATTTTGCATCATACTGAACAGTTTCTTATTTAATAAAACTATTTAAGCAGTCTTAAATTTTTCTTGAAGAATCACTAAAACAAGGTAGTATTAAATATCCTTCCATGTACAAAAAGTTATAAATTATAAAAATATAAGGTAAAATATAAATTATAAAATTATAAGTTTTTTTGTTTTTTTGTCTTAGAGGGGGTACCAGGGATTGAACTTAGAGACACTCGGCCACTGAGCCACATCCTCAGCTCTATTTTGTATTTTATTTCGAGACAGGTTCTCACTGATTTGCTTTTGCTGAGGCTTTCTTTGAACTTGTGATCCTCCTTCCTCAGCCTTCCAAGTGGCTGGGACTATAGGTGTACAAGGCTGTGACTGGCTAAAATTATGTTTTATATCACAATTTCTCATAACATAGTATTAGACATAATTCACAAGTAAAATAAATTAGAATTTACTTTTTAAAAATTAAGCTCTAACAGAATTTTATTTGAGTTTTGTACTATTAAAAAAATGTGCTTTAGTAGTATCGTTGCTGAATGCACCTTTGTGGAAACTTTTCCAGCTGTTTTTGTTTAGTTTTTTATTTTTTTATTAATACTAGTCTGAAAAATAATGAAAAAACAGTAATGTTTATTTCTGTTTGTTTAATATGAAGAAATCTTTCTGAACAAGTTTTGTTTTTCTGCAAAGTCTACAATTTCTGAATCAATATTAAACTCTAGATTTTTTCAAAGAAAGCTGTTTCCATTACATTCTTTAGATTTCATAAGTATAAGTGAATTAACTATATAAGTTTAAACACTTTTCTGTTCACATTTCACATATTTGAAAATCACTGAAGTTGATAATCAGACATGTCATGCTTACACTAGAAATTGTTTTGCTGTCATTTTTCTCTGCCTTATTTTAAAATACAGGAATTCTATACAGATGCATCTTTGTTACTTTTGTTACCAACGTTTTAATGCAATATTAACTTTCTGGGTATTGAAGGGATTTATTCAGTATTTTCATCCTATATGGATTAAGTGGATCATTAATCTGAACCAAGATTTAATGCTTCAGATTGCAAACTGGCCATTTCATAGATACTTCCCGAGTTGGCTTCTCCAGCAGCTACTAGCTCTAAGGCTTTCTTCAATTGTAGGTCCTGCACCTGTCCTCTGCCCAGTGCTGTGGCACCCTTATACCTGCACATTTGTTTAGCACTTCCATACCCCGGTCCCCAACTGCTCTCCCATCTGGGAGCTTTCACTCACACCCCTAGGCAACAACCCAGCTCTAGAAGTTGGTATTTCCCTTCCCCATCCAGGAGGGCTGGCCCTCCTGTATTCGCTCTTCTCCATCTTCAGAGGAGAGGTGGTCACTCTTAGAGTTCCCAGTTGGGAGAGTTGAGGAAGAGAGATGAAGATATAAGAGCAGAGATGCTGAAAAAGCTGAGTATAAAAAGCTGCAGGAGGGTTATGGCAAGAAAATCAGCACCTGAAGAGGGCCTAGAAGCAACAGAACAAAGTCAAGAAGTGAACAACACTGCCAGCTGATGTCTGAAATACACATTTTACCATCACAAACTGTTATTTCAATATATATTTTTTTCTAGATTTTAGCACCTACTACCTTTTATGGAAACTTATTTGCCTCTCTAATTATGTTTTCCTTGAACAAACATCATTTTCTTGGTTAAAAAAATAACCAATTTACAATTACCCTGGCTTTATACAACTGAAAAGGTTTGAAATCCTTACATAAATAATTGAAACTAAATATTTTAAAATTATCTTCTATTGAACAAACAGGCTACTGAATATAAGATGTTTTAAAAATGTTTTAAATAAAATAATAATTTGATTTCATAAAATACATAATTCTATATTGTTCTATGTGTAATTAAGGCAGTCTTATGATTTTAATGAATTTCTTAGAAATTATATATCAATGATTTTCTTAAAATAAGTTCATATTAGGCAAAAATGCATGCTTAGTATTTATAAAAAATACTGATAACCAAGTTAACAATAATAGAAGAAAACTCTTAAATTAAGATTCATGAAAAAATGTTAATTTCCTGATTAAGGAAAATCTGTAACACCAACTTCATTCAGTGTGTGAAATTTGCTTAGTTATTTTTGAGAGTCACGATTAAAGTCAGAATCCATTCTCAGGTTAACTTATTAATTTCTCTGGAATTACATTTTCTTCTACTTGTAGTCTCTATTCTGTTTCAAAAATATATAAAAGTTATTATATATATATATAAACTAGGATAATAAACTTCGGAATCTTTTCTAATATATAGTTAAAACCAAATTTAAAATACAAAATTTACTCAGCAAAATATTTTTAAACTATTAACAGTTATGTACAAATAGTAGAAACTTTCTGAATCTGATTAAAATTAAAGTTGCATACCTCTTCTATTCTACATCGTCTACATAAAGAATAGTTTTATAAATGTGTTTCATACCTAAAAGACAAAGTATTTAAAACAAGTGTGCAAATATAGAAAGCTTTTGTTTAAACAAATCAACATTCTTACAGTAGAATAAAAAAGTAAAATTTGATACTTACTCAGGCATTCTTTCAAAGCCAAAACTTGCACATTAGCTAACTGTTTCTCTCTCTGTACAACTTGTTCCTCAGAAAAACATGGAAGTGATAATAAGTCAAAAGGGAAGCCTGGAAAACAGAAAAGAATCAACACTGAAGATATTCTATTAATTAATATTCAGTTCCTAAAAATGACTTTTTAAAAAAGCTAATCACTCTCTTGATCTTACATATTTCAAAGTAACAATTAAGCAGGAGAAAACAAGTATACTAGATAGTTTTGCATTTTAAACTTTGACCCGATTCTTAATTCTTTGGGAGACTTTAGGAACCAGAGTAGAATTCCTATATCATTATTTTCTTCTGCCTACTCATAAAATAGATGAAATATCGTCCCTAGTCTCTGAAGATAGCATGTCCAATCCTTCCTATAACAAACCACACCCTGTTATTCCTCCTTGTGCAGTCCCTTCCACAATGAATCTGGGCTCCACCTATGCGTGATGGTTCCAGGGTAGTCTGGGCTGACCCAGTCTCTTCCCCTTATCTTCCTGCCAATAGTCCTCAAAAAACTGTGGAACATGCTAGGAATGTACTATCTTGAGATAGGTAAGAAGTTAGTGTTCAAGACAGGTCAGGCTTTGTTCCCCTCCTTCCTACAAGGAGATGACCTTCAGTGTTTAGCCCAGTGGGTCATATGGGCCTTGAAGTACATACCCCAGGGTCTGTTGCCTTTCAGGGTCCCTCAGCTGTGGTAAAAGACTCCAACTACCCCAAGCAGCTTTCTTAAGCCTTGAGGGACCACCTCACAGTAGATACTAGGCTTCTTCTATCCTGTACTGCCTACTGGTAAATAATATACCCACTTCACATAACTTATATAAGCATGTTCTATCTCACAAACTAAGACAAACTGATTAGCAGAGCATGGAGGACCTAAACAGTAGCTCAGGATAAAGTGGGCAGAAGCATTTACATTCCTTATTCCTATTCCTGGTGGTTGGCACACTGATAATGTTATTCTCCACGCCACGGGAGTCTTTTCTTTCCTTATGGTTGGTAATTACCAAAATTGTTACATAACCACAAATCCAATGTTAAAAGTGTCACTGAATGTCTTCTATGCTAGGTCACAGAAGACCTGGCAGTTTCTTAGAACAATTTCTCTAAGACAAGTCAGCAACCATATGAGAAGTCAGACTATTCTGAGAACCTGATGCTATAAGGAAGCCCAAGCAGCCTGTGGAGAAGGGAACATGGAGAGAAAACCATCCATCCTAGTCCAAGTACCAAACATGGGGATAAAGAAGCTATCCTAGACAGCTATTCCTGTGGGATCCTCAAATGACTGAAGCCCCAGCTGTATGTAACTATAATCATATGTGGAAACTCAGAAGCTGAACCCACTTAATACACCAGACCATGAGAGATAATATAATATCTTCTTGCTAAATTTAAGGTAGTCTGTTATATAGTTATCAGGTAACCAAAATATAGAACTTGGGGAAAAAAAAAAAGAAGAAGGGCAAAAACCAGAAAAGGCCTGAGAGAAAGCAAATGAAAATTAAAAAAAAATAAATTATAGAAAAATAATATGTGTTTAAAGTAAAAAATATTTTTTAGTTGATTGAAAACTGATCTGCTAAATTTTAGTATGCATATTGTAAAAGGAATGAGTTCTCTTCACTTTAAATTGTAAAAAGGTAGTGAAACAAAAAGTAAATAGTGACAGAAAGAGTTAAAAAAAATAAGGTCATTAAATATCTAATATTTCTTCTACTTAAAATCACAAGACTATTTTACATACAAACAAATGTAGAATTTTTTTTTCCACTTAGGTTAACACTTACTCAATTTGGCTTCTTCTGTCTTTGTTTTCATCTTTCCATGAATTAAAGTAAGGGCAAAGGAGCCATTTATCTGGTTGGCCGAGTGAAGCATTGTGGCTTTACATCTTCTACTGCCATTACCTTGTACCAAGAGATAATAGCTAGAATACTCTCCTTTTACTTCAACATCTGGAACTAAAGAAAAGCAATAATCTCAGCAAGTATGCAAAAATGCAACATGTAATGGGGCAATCATGAAGCCCAAAAGGAATATAATAAAGTTTCCATGTTATTTTAAAACAAGCATAGCGGCACACTTCACAATAGCTAGACTGTGGAACCAACCTAGATGCCCTTCAATAGATGAATGGATAAAAAAAAATGTGGCATCTATACACAATGGAGTATTACACAGCACTAAAAAATGACAAAATCATAGAATTTGCAGGGAAATGGATGGCATTAGAACAGATTATGCTAAGTGAAGTTAGCAAATCCTTAAAAAACAAATGCCAATTGTCTTCTTTGATATAAAGAGAGCAACTAAGAACAGAACAGGGAGGAGGAGCATGAGGAAAAGATTAACATTAAACAGAGACGAGTGGGGGGAGAGAAAGGGAGAGAGAAGGGAAAGCATATGGAAATGGTAGGAGACCCTCAATGTTACACAAAATTACATATAAGAGGTTGTGAGGGGAAAGGGGGGGAAATAAGGGAGAGAATTGAACAACAGCAGATGAGGTAGGAGGGAAGATGGGAGGGGAGGGGAGGGGGGATAATAGGGGACAGGAAAGGTAGCAGAATACAACAGTCACTAATATGCCATCATGTAAAAACGTGAGTGTGTAACTGATGTGATTCTGCAATTTGTATTTGGGGTAAAAACGGGAGTTCATAACCCAATTGAGTCAAATGTATGAAAGATGATATATCATGAGCTTTGTAATGTTTTGAACAACCAATAAAAAAAAAAAAAAAAAAAAGCTGTTGAATTCAACATCTGTGTGTGTGTGTGTGTGTGTGGTGGGGAGCGAACTCAGGGCCTTGTGCATGCAAGGCAAGTGCTCTACCAACTAAGCTCTATACCCAGACCTGAATTCAACATTTTTGAGGCCACTAGTTTTTCACTTAATTGAGAAAGCTATTAAAGCAGAGAATCATAAAAATAACACAAAGCATAAACCTATAGTTTTATAAAGTTAAAACTGCATATTCATTCTTTTGATGTRGTTTACAAGAGTTCTATAATATTTTTCTTTTATGGCCACACTCATATGAGATCTTCTATTTCCAAATTCTATTTCTTTAAAGTGAAATAAACTGACTTCTGCAACCACACACAACTCAAATGGTGAGAGTAGAAGTGTACAGATAAACAGTTGCCCCTCCACATTCAGATTCTGTATCCCTGGATTTAACCAAGCAGATTAAAAATACCTGGAAAAAAAAAAAAAACTGCATTGGTAGTTCTTGCCATTATTCCCTAAGTAATACAGTAAAACAACCATTAATATAGTTTTATTTATATTGTATTAGATGCTGTAAGTAATCTAGAGACGATTTAAAGTATATGAGAACATATGTTTATGTTCTATACAAAGACTAGGCCATTTGCATAAGGGACTTAAGGACCCTTAGATTTTGGTATCTGTGAAGGTCCTGGAACCAAATCCCCATGGCAAAGAGAAGACTGTACTGAAGAATAGTAATATTTTGTTTYTTGCAGTGAGCATCCTTATGTATTTTAGAGAGGAAATAGAGAGCATTCATTAATCTGGTATGCTAGTTATGTCAAGGTCAGTAAAGACAGCTTCAACTATATTTTAAAAACAAATCAAGAGAGGGTTACAGTGAAGGTTGAAGAAGAACTAGGAAGTCTTTGGGAGTAAAAACAGAAGYACAATCCTTTTTGTTGAGGGTTATAAATTGAACAAAACCATTTATTTTCACTATCTTCTGAAATTTCATTAAGTGAGAATAGAGACTTTTAAAATAATGTAAATATATAAGAACTAATACATGAGAGAAGAGAGTAGAATAAAAACATTTCTAGGCATACAGGGTCTCAAAATTTTTTCACCTATGCTCTTTCAGAGGAAAATACTAGAGGTTGTGTTCCAACAAAATGGGGCAGTAAATGAAGAAATAGGAGGACAAAGGATCCCAAAGCAATCTCCATGATGAAGAAAAGATAGTCTCACACCACAAAGCTATGGAACAAATCTAGAGGGTAAAATCAACCAATCCTTGAGGACAGGTTTCTTATATGATTGGCAGGATACTATGCTACATGATTCCATTGTGAATAGTGCTTACATAACCATAATAATAAAAACAATGAATACTAATATAAAATGACTATATGACCATCCTTGGAAGAAAGGGAAATGAGAAGAATGTGAGGGTATGGTAAGGACAAAGAAATGAAAGAGGCTAAAATCCTTATAATCCATAATGGTAAATCAACAGAAAACATATTACATGTAAAAAATTTCAGTGGCAATCTAAGCAATTAACTTACAAATTTGGAGTTGAAAATGGTTGCTTCTGAAGAACAAATGGAAAGGGAAGTGATAGGACCAAGTATTTAAAAAAAACCAAAACTTTTGAGATGCGTGTGTATGTGTGTGTGTGTCTGAGATACAATTCACTCAAAGTCTACAATTCAACAGTTTTTTAGTATATTCAATTATGCAACCATTACCACCAGTCTAATTTTAGAATATTTTTATTCCCTTAAATAAGGGTAACCCCATATCTATTAACATTGACTGATTGCTTCAAATTAARTTTTGCAACCTGTTGAGATAATATACTTGACTTTATGTACATGACTTTGAGCAAATAAAAAGAACTAAACGCAAAAAAATTAGCACTCAAAATTTAATTTACTTACCAGCTATACTAAAGGATAGAAGTTGTGTAAATAATGGAGTAGCATATACCACCATGAAACAATCCATGTTTAGTTCTTATATTGTCATATTCATATCTGTACATAAAAAACCAGAGCTAACAACAAGATCAAAACTGATACTAACTGGGTGTGACAGTACACATCTGTAATCCTAGTGACTCAGGAGGCTGAGGCAGGAGAATTGTAAATTTGAGCCAGTCTGGGCAACTTAGTGAGTACCTGTCCCTAAATAAATAGGGTTGGGGATGTACTCAGTGGTAGAGTCCCTGTGTCACTGGGCTCAACCCCCAGTTCTGGGGGTGGTGGGAGGGTGAGAATCAATACTAAAGGTGAGTTACTGAGGTGATGATAAGGGTTACTCACAAAAAAGTTGCTAGAGTCAGGAATTAAGAAAAAGAAGAAAATGTGGAAAGCACATCACATAAAACAATAAGAAATAAATTAATCAGAACACTATAAGGTTTTTTTTGTTTTTTTTTTTTTTGTTTTTTTTTACACTAAGGGCTACATCAATGTTCAACTTCATAGCCCTAACAGCTTTGGTACTTAGCATGTAGGAAATATTCAAGAATTGTTAACTGATTTGTAAAGACAGGGGAAAAAAGAGATTGAAACAACATGAAAGAGGCTACAATCTTTATATTCCATAATGGTAAGTCAAAAGAAAATTTTTACATTACATGTAAAAAATTGAAGTGGCACAATAATATGAATTGTGATAAGAGAAGACATTTGGAATACTCCTTAGAAGGACAATGATCTGCAAGTGATAGTATAGTAAAACTAAAGAACTGCAGAGATAGAAGAGACCGCAAAGAATTAAGAGACCTGAAAGGACTGCAAAATAAGTAGAGACTACCAGAGTCAACTGTGGCCCAACTTCAGGGAAATGTTTAATATGGGTTTGTTTGGCTCTTTCCCTAGGCAATGTATCCTATTGAAAAGCTTTCCCTCATTGAATATGGCCTCCCAACTTCCACTCTGATCATGCCTTTTCAATCTTCTTTACTTGTTCCTCTAAACCTTCATCCATTGCAAATTTGCCCTTGTCTCATTTCCTTGAGTCAAATATTCTCCCTGGGTAATTATATTTGCTCCGGACTGACTATACCATTCAAAGCAATATATCCATGTCCCTTTTTCCCTTAAGTTTATTTTAGGGGCCATTGAGATGGAAGCATGTGGACATCTGCAGAACCATTCTCCAGCAATATAATTGGGAAAATTATCCCCAAATTTCACCATACAGTAAACGAAGAAAGGTTTCCTGAGGGAAAAAAACTAAAATTGGATAAAAATTGTGAGTTTATAGCATTTTAACCATGACCAGCTTGTTCCCCTGAATGCAGCTAGACCGAATATCCCATTAAAGTAGGCATGGCCAAGAAGACGGATGTCCTTTTGCCCTCWGCTCCAGTCAAGGGTTATGGTGTATCATGAGGAGGGGCCAGCTGTCAGCACTGAGCTCCTCAATTCCAAGTTGAAGAAGCTGAATTCCTAATGAGAATGAGATTTCAGGGACTCCCATCCTCCCCTTAGCGCCTGCTCAAGGTAGAGGCTCTACTCCAGGATAGGCAATCTGACAATAATGGGCACTACACTGCCATCACCCCAGCTCACTTACAGGGCAGAAAATCAAAGATCTAGTTCACCAGAGAGAACCAGGAAAGCTAAGAAAAAGCACCAGGGAGTTAGAATCCAATGTAAAGACTAACTTCAAAAATTATTCCAAATTAACTGGATCAGCAACTTACTACAGAGCTATGTAAGCCACAATAAAACAATAAGCTGGAAATCAGAATCTAACAGTTGGGTAAGGAAGTTTGTCCAAATGAGGAAGACAAGCAAGAAATCAGGAATTGAAAGACCTGCAAAAAACACCTTACTCCCAGGGAGAATACACCCCACTGATGGCTATAACCTCTGAAAAGTGACAGCAAAACATTGACACTGAGAGAGAAAACAGGTTTCATTAAAATAGCCCAGCTACTCACCAAACAAACAAGCAAACAACAAAAACAATCCTAATAAAAGGGTGGGAAGACCTAAAATGCCACTTTCATCAAAAAAAGATTTGAGACATTTCAAGAAATAGGAATGTTTGATATCTACAGAGAGAAAAAAGCAGGCAACAGAAAATACTTATGAGATAAGGGCCCAAATGTCAGCTATAACAAAGAATTCAAGGTAAATACTATAAATATGTTCAAAGAACTAAAGGAAACCATGCTTAAAGAAAAATGTCTCAGCAAATAGACACTATAAAAAATATAGTTAA